GGGGAGGTTTGGAGGGGGGTGTGTGTCTGAGTGTGTGTAGGGTCTTGTGTGTGTGTGTCCATGTCCCTCTGTCCCTCCGTCCCTTTGCCCGTCCCTCTGTCCATGTCTGTCCCTCCATCCCTGTCCATCTGTCCCTCCGTCCATCCATGCATCCCTTTGTCCGTCTGTCCCTCCACCCGCCTGTACACCCATCCGTCTGTGTCCGTCCATCTGTCCCTCTGCCCATGTGTCTATCCGTCCTTGTCCACCCGTGTGTCCATCCCTCTGCCCATGAATCCATCTGTCCCTCTGTGCATCTGTCCGTCCCTTTGTCTGTCCGTCCCTTTGTCTGTCCGTCCCTTTGTCTGTCCTTGCCTCCCTCAGTCCATCTGTCTGTCCCTTGGTCTGTGTGTCCATCCCTCTGTCCATCTGTCCCTTTGTCCCTCCATCCGTCCTTGTCCATCCCTGTCCCTTTCCGTGTCTGTCCGTCCCTTTGTCCATCCATCCCTCTGTCCATTTCTGTATATCTGCCCCTCCCTCTGACTGTCTGTCCCTCAGCCTATCCACCCATCCGTGTCCATCCGTCCCTTTGTCCGTCCCTCTGTCCCTTTGTGCATCTGTGCACCCCTCCATCTGTCTGTCCCTCCACATGTCCATTCCACTGTCTGTCCATTTGTCCGTCTGTCTGTTCCTCCATGTGTCCATCCCACTGTCCGCCTGTCCCTTTGTCCACCCGTGCCTCTGCCTGCCTGTCCCTCTGCCTCTTTCTGCCCATCTGTGTCTCTCTGTCCCTATCCCTCCGTCTGTGTGTCCATCCCTCAGTCAGTCTGTCCCTTTGTCCATCTGTCCGTCTGTCCCTTCCTCTGTTCCTTTGTGCCTTTGTGTGTCCCTTTGTCTGTCCATCCACCCATCCCTTTGTGTGTCCTTCTGCCCGTCCGACCCTCTGCCCATCCTTGTCCATCCCTCTGTCCATTTGTCCATCTGTGTCTGTGTGTCCGTCTGTCCGTCCATTCCTCTGTCCATTCATCTATCCCTCTGTCCATGTGTCTGTCCCTTTGTCTGTCCATCTGCCACTTTGTCCTTCTGTGTGTGTCCGTCCGACTGTCTGTGTGTCCACCTGCCCGTCTGTCCCTCCACCTGTCTTTCCACCTGTCCCTGTGTCCCTCTGTCTGTCCCTGTGTCCCTCTGTCTGTCCTTGTCCATCCCTCTGTCCCTTTGCCCGTCCGCCCAGCCATCTGTCCATCCGTCCTTGTCCATCCCTCTGTGTGTCCGTCCGTCCCTCCGTCCATGTCCATCTGCCCCTGCCTTTGTCCGTCTGTCCATCCCTCTGTGTGTCTGTCCGTCCATCCCTCCGTCCATGTCCGTCTGCCCCTGCCTTTGTCCGTCTGTCCATCCCTCTGTCCCTTTGTCTGTGTGTCCCTCTGCCTATCCGACCCTCCACCAATCCTTGTCCATCCCTTTGTGCATCCCTCTGTCCCTTTGTCTGTCCATCCATCCCTTTCACTGTCCAACCCTTTGTCCGTGTGTCCATCCCTCCATCTGTCCGTCCCTTTGTCCGTCCATCTGCCACTTTGTCCATTGTCTGCCCCTCTGTCACTTTGTGTCCGTGTGTCCCTTTGTCCATGTCACTTTCTCCATGTGTCCATCTGTTTGTGTGTCCCTTTGTGTGTCTGTCCATCTGTCCCTTTGTCCGTGTGTCCCTCTGTCTGTGTGTCATGTCCGTCTGACTGTCCGTGCGCCCACCCGCCTGTCCCTCTGTCTGTCCCTGTCCCTCCATCCATCTGTCCCTTTGTCCATCTCTCTGTCCATCCATCTGTCCCTTTGTGCATCTGTGCATCCCTTTGTCCGCCTGTCCCTCCAACTGTCCGTGTGTCTTCCCATCCATCCCTTTGTCCGCCCGCCCATCCCTCTGCCTGTCTTCCTGCCCGTCTGTGTCCGTCCAGCCCTCTGCCTGTGTCCCTCCGTCCGTGTGTCCATCCCTCTGTCTGTCTGTCCTTCTGTCCCTTTGTGTGTCTGTGTCCCTTTGTCCATCCATCCTTCCATCCATCCGTGTGTCTGTCTGTCTGCTCATCCCTCCGCCTTTCTGCCTGTGTCCGCCCCTTTGTCCGTCTGTCCCTCTGTCCCTTTATGCATCCCTTTGTCCATCTGTCCCTCTGCCTGTCCTTGTCCATCCCTTTGTCTGCCCATCTGTCTGTCCATCCCTTTGTGCATCCATGCGTCCCTCCGTCTGTCCCTTTGTCCTTCCATCCATGTACCCGACTGTCCCTCTGTCCCTTTGTCCATCTGTCCCTCCGGCCCTCTGTCCCTGTGTCTGTCTGTCCGTGTATCTGTCCATCTGTCCCTCCGTCCATCAATGTGTCTGTCTGTCCTTGTGTCTCTGTACGTCCATGTCCGTGTGTGTCCCCATGTCTGTGTTTCACGGGGGCAGGGTGCGTGTCTGTGCCGTGTTTCACCGTAGCATGGAAGACGCAGTCAGTCAGGCCCAGCGGAACTCGGTTGCTCAGTATTTTATTGAAGAGGAAACACACACCACCCCCCCCGGCCGGGCGGAGCAGGAGCCCAGCGCGCGTCTGCGCCAGCGGTTGTGCGAAGAAAAGCCGTCGCGTTTCCGTGAGGAGCGCGCTTCTGAGCCGGGGTGCGTGATGAAGCACAGCCAGAGCCCCGCCACGGTGCTGGCTGCTGAAATGCTCCCCGGCGCCAGCCCTGTCCTGCACCAGGCTGCTCCGCTGACATTTTATGGGTGGAGGAGGAGGAGGAGGCGGCAGCTTTTTGTGCTTACAACATCTGAACAACTCCTGGGCGGGAGACACTCACAGCTTGTGAATATTGCTAATTACTTACAGTTAAGAAGGGACGTATCCTGACGACCGTGATACAAACCTGCGAGCCCACAGAGCCTTTGCGGTAAGTCGCGGTCATGAACACCCAACTGAGTTTAGGCAAGCTCAGGCCCAGTCAGGGCCTCCCGATGCCCGTCCCTGCGCTTGGGCCCGCAGCGGGAGCTGGCGAGGAGCGCCCTGTGCTTGGGAAGGGCCCCGCTGCCCCCAGTCCCTTGGGAGGACGCATCTGCCAGCCCACCCCATCCTCCTGGGAAGGAGGAGCCGCCGCTGGGAAGGCGCTGGGGCAGGCCGGGCACACGAGTGAGCTGCTTCAGCTCTCCGCTCCGATTACAGTTGAAAGGTTAAATATGGATAAATGCTGTAGGTTTATACATAATGCTTCCTTCTACCTATGGAATGTGTCTGAACGCTTAAAAGACACTAAAACGTCGTTAGAAACCTTAGCTAACCAAGAGAGACAACCCCGCCCTTAAAAAATAAGTAAACCCTATTTAGTTTTACTACGGCCTGTGTTTAAATGCCCTCAGAAAACCAAGCGTGTTCCCTGTGAGAAGGTATCTGTTCATGCAGTGGCCCAAGCGCCTCGTTCAACAAGCATTGCACTTTTTTATGTAAGTCATCAAAACTATAAAACCTATTATTTTTGTCCGAAAGTGTAAGTCTAAAAAGTACAGTATTACTTTATAACCACTTACAGTGAACGCCTAGCGCACGTGCATGTGCACGCGCGCACACACACACACAGAGTTGCCTAAACGCCTGCTAAAGCGACCGCTTACAAAGTGTATCAAATCTGTGGCGCGTGGGCAGGGTGCAGGGGGAGCGGCCAGCCTGGCGCGCGGCCTACAGCCGAGTGTCGATCGCTGAACTGTACACGTCTATACAGCCCGAGAGTCACCAAGGAGCTTTGAAACGCAAACAGCAAGCACACAAGTTCAGTAACGCTCTGAGGACGCAGTTATTACTGACGCCGACTCGTTGGCGGTGACTGAAGTCATCTGAGAATGACATTGTTTGTTTCATCAGGCAGGGCTGAAACCAAACCGCCCGCGAGACAGCGCCCTCTTACAGCTATTTGAGGACCCCCCTGCTGAGAATCTGCTCTTGAACTGGGTGCCGAGGAGCAGGAGCCAAAGCTTCCTCTCCCTGCTAGAAGGACCTTGGCCTGTGCTTTAACAAGCAGAGGCGCTACCCAGCCTGTGGGCCCCCTCCCGCAGGCACCTCCACGCTGCCCCGACCTCGGCCGACACAGTGGGGTGG